AGGATATTAGTGATCCTCTTGGTCATTTTTATCACTCTTATATAGTCTCATTAACTTCATCTAGTACTTCCAACTCTTTTTGTATAGTATGGTGTCTTACTCAGTGCCTAATTAAAGTTTCTTGTGTAAATGATTTTGCATTTTGTCTTTCAGGTTTTCATTGTCGTGTATTTTAATATTTGTTTTAGTTGAACTTGTTTTAAGTTTTATTCTGCTGACGAGTGCACGATATGTTTTTATTGAGTACATAGACTTTCGAAACATCTTGGTATTTGGTTCTTAACAATATGTTTTCGGTTATCTTTTGGTTATTTCGATGTATATAATCTTCTGTGGTGAATTTTAAAAGAGGTAATTGTAACTAGAAATTGCTCTTCCACTTCAAATTCTACGAGTCGATTGCTTTGTTTTTTGTGCTCTCGAAACATAACGGTCCCACGTATTCTTTACGTTTTTCGTTACAAATTATTTTCGCGTTAAAGTATCTTATTATTATTTAGCACAGTGATATAATGTGGCAATCTAGTTTTCACAATTCAACTGTAATTACTAACATCTCCCAAATTGTCCCGGAATTAATCAAATTGACCCTTCAAAAAGTGAACTTTCAGGGTCTCAGGCTAATCAATTATTCTAATTTTTAAAACTTCTTTAAATATCTACAATAGAAACATATTCTGGGGCTTTTTAGTTCTCAAGAACTTTTGAACGACTTCTTTGAATGCTAATGTCAGATCCGACGAAGGTCGCCTTCTTTTAGTTTAACTTCTAAAAACTATTGGTCGAGATAGTTGAAACATAGTTAAAAGTTTTCTCATTGTTAGCTTGTGTAATCTGTAATACATAAAAGCCCCATATAATTGACTGCAGGAAACATACAGTGTAGGAAAAATTTTATGGTCGGTATGGTAAAATTTAACAGGATATCTAACGCAGATATAAAATCATATTTTCAGCGAATAGACAAAGATAACAATCATATTTCCCCTTGGTCTCCCCTCCTCAAATATTTTTAACACCTATTGGCCATTAGTGAGACGAATAGTTCCGATCAGAAATATTTTACATATTCTCTGGTTCCGATCCTAATATACCTAAAAAACTAGAGGTGGGTCCTCCCGTTTTTTAAATTTTTATCGGAACCGTTTTTCGTAAACCGTAACTAGTTGATTCAAATTAGCGAGTACGCAAACATATTGGCTATTATCGTTTATGTGTATAAGTATTGAAGTGAAAGAACCTAACGAAGGATATATTTATTATAACTTGAAAAATAAATTAAACAATACAAATAGTACTTACATTTACATTAAATCGTACTTACATTTACATTACACGTTATTATTAAATCGCGAATCGTCTAAATTGACATTTAAAAACAAGTTTTTCTACTTTTCTTGTTAACCGTGTTCTTCTTTTATTTAAAATTAAACCAGATTTTAAACATGTGTTCACAAGGAAAAGATTTTGTTACAATTCTACAATATTTTATGAATATAGTGGCTAAGTTAGGATATACATGGCGATGGTTTTTCCACCACGGTAATGGACAGTTCCAATCTCCGTTCGAAATTTATTGTGGGTAATATATTATCAGACAAATACATGTCGACTTCTTGTATATCTCTCGATACAGTTGTATGTTTAGATGAGTCATGTCCAATTAATTCATCAAAAATACACAATGGACTTAAGTCATCTTTATCAGTTTCTTTTTCTTGACTAAACTTATTGATTTACTAAACTTATGCAAAGACTCGTTTCATCCGTTTTCTATAGGTGAAGAACCAGCTTTTAAAAAGTTTGCAGGGTGGATTGCTGGATATAAACCGCCAACAAGAAAAACTGTTAGATTCATTACTTCAGGAATGTTATGTCAAAACTGATTTGATAATAGATAAAATAAAAAGTCCTTTTTTCGACAATTCTGCAAAAAACATTAAAAAAAAGTACCTTATCTTCAGAAAGGCTTTTAAAGTATTAATTACAACATAACAAAGTTCCCAAACGGCCAATCCAAGACGTGGAAACTAGGTAGAACTTCACCTATTACAGGTTAAAAAGAATGACTGAGTTAGAAGAGGCAATCCGTTTCACTTCTTCTTCTTTAAGTTCCATCTTCTATCGAAGGTTGGAAATCATCATGGCTATGCCGACTCTGTTGACTGCCGCTCTAAAAAGGTCTGCACTACTGCATTCAAACCATTCCCTTAAGTTCTTAAGCCAGGATATTCTTCGTCTTCCCACATTTCGCTTTTCTCGGATTTTGCCCTGCATAATAAGTTGTAATAATGCGTATTTTTGCCCTCTCATCACATGTCCCAAGTACTCCAGTTTTCGTCTTTTAATATTATTTCTGCCTCATTTCCTATCCTTCTAGTTACTTCAATGTTTGACATTTTTTGAATCCATGATATTCGTAGGATTCTTCTGGAACACCAAAATTCAAAGGCGGCCAACTTATTCAGATGATCTTGTTTTAGTGTCCAAGCTTTCAGACCATAAAGAAGAGTAGAGAACACGTAACATCGAAGCATTCTCAGGCGTAGTTCTAACCTTATATCCCGACAACAAAGAAACTTTTTAAGTTTAATAAATGATGTACGTGCTATTTCAGTACGTGTCTTAATTTCTTTGGTTTGGTCTAGATCTGATGTTATCCATGTTCCTAAGTATTTATAGTTATTAACACTCTTAATTGCAGTATCTTCAATAGTCAATTGGATATTTGTGCAGATTTAGTCATGATCATGCATTTAGTTTTCTTTAAATTTATCTTCAGTCCGTACTCATGACAGCGTTCATTAAGGCGTTGCATTAGGTTCTGTAAATCATTGTTGTTATCCGTAATTATTACTGTATCGTCTGCAAAACGTAAGTTATTCAAAACTTCTCCATTGATAGATATACCTTCTATTGAGTCTGAGAGCGCTTCTTAAAATACCGATCACGGTAGACATTGAAAAGTAGTGGGGACAGCACGCAACCCTGGCGGACCCCTCTCTGTATTTTGATATTTTCGGTGTACTGGCGTGTATTTCTGTTCCACATCGGTATTAAATAATACAGACTTAGACTTAGACCAAATCTAAATAAAAAACACTGGATTATTTGTTCTCAGCTTTCCCAAATTTTACGGCCGTTTAAAGAAATAACAAGTACAATGAGTGACCAAAAATACTTGAAGGGTAGTTCAGTGATTGTTATGGTACGCGGCCTGCAAGAATCTTGCAAGAAAATTTTAGCAAACGGTAACCTTACATCCATAGTATCCGACGTAGTACAATTACTAATATCGGGTTTAGCAAAAATATTTAAAGGGATAGAACAGAGTGGCATATTGTCATTATGTACATTTATGGATTCACCATTTAAAGTGCAGGGTTTTTCTGATATAAATGAAGATAAAAAAATAAAAGAAAAAGTTAAGAAGCTGGTTACTTCTATAATTAACGAACAAGAAGATTGTACTATTGAAAATCAACCAGTACAAGAAAAGAAACCAATAAAGATATTACCTTAAATCCATGGTGTATATTTGATCAATTAATTGGAGATGGCTCATCTACACGTACACCTGTATCGAGAGTGCATTACAACGGTGGAAAAACCATCGCCATGTATATCCTAACTTAACCCCTATATTCATACAGTATTGTAAATGTGAACACATGTTCAAAATCTGGTTTAATTTGAAATAAAAAAAGAAGACGGTTAATAAGAAGTAGGTATAGTAGAAAAACTTATGTTTTTTAATGTCAATTTAGACTATTCGCGATTTAATAATAACGTGTAATGTAAATGTAAGTACGATTTACTATTTGAATTGTTTAGTTTATTTTTCAAGTTATAATAAATATATCATTAGATTCTTTCACTTCAATAAATATACACATAAACGATAATAGCCATTATGTTTGTTTATGTAGGTACTCTCTTACTTGAAACTACTTTTAAACAATCATAGTTACTTGTTTACAAAAATTTAAATTTTTAAATTCATTCATTTTTTTTGGAATCCTGAGAAAACTAACAAATATTTTTGAAAAATTTAAATGCAGAATAAAAGATTACATTATTACCGAGGGCCGAAAGTCCCTTAGAATAAACAAAAAGTTTTTTGAATGAGATATTTGAAATTAAAAATCACACTAATTTTTTTTTCGCCCTTATAACTTATTAAAATAAACATTATAGAAGTTTTCAGGGACTTTTGGCTCTCGGTAATAATGTATTGGTTCATTCTGCGTTTAAATTTTTCAAGAATATTTATTAGTTTTATCAGGATTCAAAAAAAATTATCCGAAATTTTATGCCTACGCTCTTAACGATAAAATTACCACGACCCACCTCTACTACCCGTTACTTGGTGTTCTGATCAGACGGACGACGTTGCCAAATAAATTATTGTGTATGAATATTTTTTAATGTGGTGTTATTGTATGCAGTTTATTATTTCATATTGGGAATAAGGCACAATGTGACTTTAAAATAAGCTTATTTTGATGTTTCGATTTTTAATTCGGAAATCGTACTTAAAATACGAAATCAAAATGTTATATTACACTTATTGTAAAGTAAACTTGTGGCATATTCCCAAAAAAAAAAAAAAACAGTAAGCTGCCCTTTAAATCAATTTCGCCCAAATTGGATTATCTTAGAACATTGTTCAAATACAAAAAAAAACAACAGGTCAAATAAATCCAATAAGTTTGGCAACGTTGAACTTCCCCTTTCCAGGCATGCATGTTTGGCGATATAAAGGGCGGACCTAATATACCTCTCTCTTTCTAAACAGCTGTTTCTCACTCCATCTCACGTAAGGTCCATACCGACCATAAAATTTTTCCTACACTGTATAGGCGTTAGAGGCTAACACTACCAAAAAAAAACTAGTCAAATACCTGGAAAAGCCAGAGTTTCCAAATATGGTCAATTTTTGGCTATTTTCATGAGGTACATATAAATCTTTGCTTAAATCGATAAATTATTTATTTTAGGCTGTGCGAATAAAGAAGTTACTGATGTAGAAGATGGAGAAGTAACATCTGAAACCGATTCACCTGAACCAATAATTCAAATCAGTTTTAGCACTAAAAGCATTAGTAATGTGTACAAACAGAAGATTTTGGACTTCGTAAGTTCTTGTACTGATCTAAAGATATTTAAACAAGACGATCTCTCTATTACTGTAAAACCTGAAGAAGGAAAAGTAAATAGCGACTGGATTACTTTAGATGAGACTGGCATAAACAACACTATTGTTGAATCTTGCACTCAGGAAATTAATAAAGTAGAAGAGTCAACATCACGTAGCCCACCGAAAAAGAAAAAGCGAAAAAAGGCGAAGAAAGACAAAGACTTGTTTGTGTTAGATACAGAGCCATCTCAAGAACAGATCCATACCACGAAATACTCTAGTAAATTTCAAATAGATATTATTAAGGAGAAGGAGAATGATGAAAAGAAAGTCAGAATTTCTGCTCAGACTTGCTTTAATTGTGACCAAGGACATGCTCTTAAGGATTGTCCATTACCGAAAAATTATAATATAATCAACATGAAGAGACAGCAGATGAAAATGATGAAGGAAAAACAGTCAGCGTAAGTTTTTTAAATTTTTTTAAGTTAGATTTATCCTTAGGATTGTTTTGTATTAATAATAATTTTTATTAAGGGACTTAATAAAACATTTTGAACAAATATATAACAAATCAACTAAATAACGCTGAACATGAATAAATATAAAACATGTAAGTTTCGTCCGTCTGCAACATGATATACCATCATATAGAATATTATAAAATAATTCAATTATTTTGTCAATATTGCAATTAAAATTTTTGGTATCCAAAAGACTATTCCATTTAAAATTACATATGAGGCCCCTAGAAGTCAAGGGGTCTAAGTAACAAAATCAATATTATGAGAAAAGTCAAATTTGGAAGAATATTGTAAGAGGGAAATTTAAAATTGCATTATTTTGATTATTTAAGAAGGATAATCAGGTCTTTGGGTTGTTATTGCCAATAGCAGAAAGTATTACAATATTCGGTTGTTGTTTTTTGTATAAAATATAATTGATGGTGCGCACATGGATCCCTTTACCTCTCATTAATTTTGTGAGCATGAAAATGCTCAATTTGCACAAAAATAAATAAGTGGTTTTATTATTATTTAAACAACTATTTTGTATGTTATTTTTGCATGACAGTGTTAAATCAGAAAATATTACATGTTGGAAGATCTTGAAAACTATTTAATTGCTGCCATCTGTGTCATAAACTGTTACCAAAGTGATTATCCATCATTTTCATTGCCTACAAAAGTACCTGTAGCTAAAGTCTTTCCAGTTGGACAGATTCGAAAGTAGTTATAAGGATAGAATCGTTTTATAATGCTCCTTTGTCCGCTTCTTCTCGATCGACGTTGATAAATACAATAAAACGATGAAGATGTGGAGTAAAAATATTGGTTTTATTGACAGTTACTAATAATTACACTGAATATGTTGGTTAGGTAAATATCTATAACAGACTGCCCTGAAATGAGCTCAAATCACCAATTTATAATGTCAAAAATAATGTATACCTCAGCACAGAGGTTATTGCTTCTATCAGACTAACAAACTTTGAACTATGAGCTTCCAATACAAGTTAATTTTTTTTCGTCTTTATAGAGAGGGGGGGGGGTTCTGGAATCTTCAAAAGACATCTCAGTCCAGGACGCCGCCTGACTAACCTTAGTGCAGGATTCGTTCTTCGTACTCCCGGCGATAGTTTCCGAGGTACTTTAAAATGCCCTCTCGTCGCCGAGTCTACGCCGAACGCCTACATGCTAAACCAGACCCTCCTCTGTCATCCAGCGATCCGGAAGCAGAATCGCCGCTGTAAGGCCGGTATCACTTCCGAAGTGTGACCACAACCAGTGTGACCCACTGTTCTAGCTTCACCTTTCAGCATCATTCACTCTTACCTGTGCCGTTGGTCCAGCTGTCTCTCTTTCTCTTCCTTTTTCTTGATCACTACATGGATATAGCTGTGTATGTTAATCAAATCTAATGTATTTTCAATCATTCTCTCAATAATTTCTCTCACTGTAACAAAATTCACACCTGTCTCTCTCTCTCCATTCTGTTACTTTCCATTATCCATCTGCTGCAATCTAACATCCTATGTGTCACAGTGTCCGAGTATCCACAGTATAGGCATTCATCTGTATCAGCTTTCCGATCCTATAGAGGTAGACCTTAAAACACCCGTGTCCTGTGAGCACCTGCGTCAAGAAATAATCCAATCGCCTGTGGCCACAGTCCACCCAAGCTCTTATGTTCGGGATCAGCATTTTCGTCCACTGCGCCACATCCTTCGTGTTGTTCCATTCTTCTTGCCATCTTTCAACTGACCTTTCCCTTACCTATCTTCTCTCAGCCACAGTAAGGTTTGGGCCTCTTCTCTCATAAAGCTCTTTTCTTTCCACCGCCAAAACATGCAACGGAACACATCCAGTAATGGTCCATAAGGCTGCCGCAGATACAGTCCTGTAGCCGCATGCCACTCGCAACAGACTTGTTCTGTCTACTCGTGTCAGACTTCTATAGGCCGTTATCTCTATCGCTCCAGACTGGTGCCGCGTAGAGGACGATCGACTACTGTACAACACCGTGTAAGACCCTCCTCCTTTCGGATTTGGGTCCTCCAATGTTCCGCATCACCCCTCCCCCTCCAACGTAGCCGCACTATTCGCAGCCTTTCGGACCACCTCCTGCACGTGCTCTCCCCATTTTCCATTCTGGTGCAATGTCACTCCTAGATACTTTACTTGTTTCTTGGGTGTTAGACATGCTCCCGCACATTTTATTTCAATACTTTGCCTGTTCATAGTCCCCTTCAGAATGATAGCTTTGGTTTTCTCTGTCGCAAGTTTCAGTCCGTGCTGCGTCATCCATTTCTTTACGACGCCACCTGAGTTCCGAACCGGGTATTTGAGATCTGGCTTATCCCGGGCTATTACCAGTACAGCGAGGTCATCCGCGAATGCGAAGGGGTTTATACCCTCTCCGTATTCACAGTGGATAACCCCGTCATATGCCAAATTCCATAGCGTCGGGTCCAAGACATATCCCTGGGGTACCCCGGCCGTCACGTCCACGATCGTGCCCTTTTCCACCATAATCCTTCTCTCGGACAGATACTCCGCCAAAACACTCATCAGGTAACCAGGACATTCTCTCTCCTCCATTGCCTTCATTACCTCGATCCACTGTAGCGTATTGAATGCATTCTTAACATTAAACAACAGCAGGGCTGCCCAGGGATGTTCATCCCCTCTGTTGCGCAATGCTTCGAGTACACTCATGATTGCATCAATCGTGATTTGCCCTTTACAAAAACCAAATTGCCTCCGAGATAAACCCCTGATCTCTCAATCATGTCGTCTATGCGTACTCGCAGCATCCTTTCATATAGCTTACTGATGCATGGAAGAAGACAGATGGGGAGATACTTTTCCCTAGCTTTGGGATGCAGTATTAACCTCGATGTACTCGCAACGCTCAGGAAAGCTGCCGTCCGGAAAGAGCTCTATTATTACCTCAAGCTTCTTGTCCACGGGCATTTCGTAAGGAGGATATGCATGAAACTTTTTCATGACGACCTTGTATCCCTGACGCCAGATGTCTTCATCCAGCTTTTCGCACAGCTCTTTCCAGTGCCTTCTTTTTTCTGGAAGGATTTTCCTGAAAAAGACGGATTTTCCTATACAGTTCCCCCTTCCATGCGCGGTACTCTTCCTCGATCTCCTCGATGACCTCAGGATTGATTCCTGCTCTGCCTCTTGCTCTTGTTAACCTTCTTCTTATTGCTATACATACATTTCTTGGTGCCTCGATGTCCGTATTCCACCAATATGGCATCCTGTTAACATCTTGGCGACCAATCTTGCTTCCTTCCATCGCTTCTTTAATGACTCTCTCCAGGCTTTCCACCGTCGGTGATTGACCCTGCATTATGCTCACTCTCCATTTAATTAGCTCCTCGTATACTTTCCAGTCATTCCCATCGCCGCATTTGTCGCCGGACATCCCGGAAGCACGGACCGTGTTAGTGGTCCCCGTTCCAGTTATCGAGAACTCGATGTATTGATGTTCAGTTCCGGTGTAGTCTGGCAAAACCTTCCAGCCTCTTGCCTTCGCCGCTATTCCTTGGCTGTCATTCTTTAATAATTTGCCCTTTCTTTTAGCTTCTTTAGCTGCCTCTGCCTTTCTTAAATGAAGTTCTTTTTCAACTTCAGCTGTTTGCTCCTCACCAGGTGTGCCGTGGCTAATCTTCATTTGTAACTTGTCACAAGTGACACAAGTGTCGGTGTGAGGTCTGTGGAAGCTTAGATTGAATTTTGTTTTGCATATAAATCTGTAAAAGCTTTCTTTTTCCCCATTTGTTCTTCTCTACAAAATTTTTCGTACAGTTTATACATAATTGGCACATTCAAGCCTGGGTTTAGGTATCTTTGGTTTGGAAATTTAGCCCTACTGTAATGGCTCGAGTAAGTCGGAAAGTTTCTTATATGCTTCATAACTATCTCCACCTTGTTTGAATTTTGTTTGGCTGTTCCTTCTTTCCTCGTTTGTCACGTTGTGATACGCCAGATGGATTTATCTTTGTTTAAATAATAACATTCCTTATCCTTTTGTTAGAAATTTACCTTGCACACTCTATGACCAGCCAGGTTATAGTTACATGATATGTCTTTATGACTGACGGCTGTCGCTTTCTTCCTCATGAAAGGCACTATTTAAAAACGATGTCTGAAGATCCCAGTTACCTAGCTCCCAATTTTAATTAAGTATTGATTCCCTCTGTTAGCAAGGAATCTTTTCGCTGCAATGAAACCTACACAGGTGATTATATACACGTAACTTTTTAACTCGTGTTGCCTCATATTACGATCCAGCTAAACATGCTTTGTGTTTCTTAATTTCTATTTTTTTGTAACATTTCCATGTTTCCTCTCTTCTTAGCCTTTTTTCATTGTTGAGGTTCAAGAGGAAAAGTATTGGACGGTCCAGTTCTCCCTTCTCACAGATTTATTAAATAATAATTTTTAGCTTACCCAAAGAAGAATTACGAGATTGTTCATCATCCTCAGGATTATAATCTCTGTCTATTTCAGAATCATCTCCAAATAGTGGTCTCTTACTGCTACCACTTAGAAAACTGATCATCATTTGTATCATCATGATTCTGTTCATTACTTTCCTCGTGAATAGGATCTATAAAATGAAAATTTTGTAAAAAAATGTATTGTTGTTATATTTATTATTACTGCTATATTAATTTTTCCATATTAATAAAATCAAAAGCTAAAGTAACTAGTAATTACACCTTATCTGTGTATTGTATTGTAGGTTATATTGAGCTTCTTCTTCATTTTTTTTCCATTTAGTATTAGCTTTAGAAATTGTTTTATTATTGTAACACATTTATATATTTACTTTGAACACCAGCAGTAAAATAACTTATATTGTAACCATTTATAGAAAAAAATATGATCAAAATTGTTTTTAATAACACTTATGTCAACTACAACTAAACTGTGATGGTTTGTTGATTCGTGGTAAAGGGATCTAAGTGCTTTTGGATCCCTTGTGTTCCAAGTTTGAACTTTTCTGAATATTGAACGAATCCATGAATGGTGATGGATATGCATGACAAAAATTACTTAATTATTTGAGTGCTATTCAATATTCTGCTTTATGTATGAGTTTAATAACATCTCTAATGATGATAACCTTACGAGCCTTCACAACTATATGTTGGAACAAGCAGTTATTTTGCGAATAACATTTTTTATGAATTATTTTTGCGGTTTATTTATATATTTTATATTTAATTAATTGTTTGATAATCGAAAACTGCTGACAACTAAATATTGGAACATTTGCTTTTCCTCACGTTTTTTACATTTTTATTCATCGGTACCATAAAGAGGAAACAATGCGTGAAATTTACAGTGAATTGAGTGTAACTACAGAAATATAGTGAAACTGCCCGTATTGACGTTCTCGGCAAAGTCTCAGGTTGTCCAAAAGCTGTTTCTCAAAGGAGTGTAAAGCATTTAATTAGAATATGTAAGTCGGGAAGAACAAAGCCACTAAGAGAAGTAACTGCTAGGTGGAATAGAGAAACTGGCATGAATGTTTCCAGAGAATCCACAAAAGCGGTCTTAGTTTTTATAAGTTATGTTTGATCGTTTCTTCTTTACAATATAAATTTTATATTTTTTTATTTTTTTCGGGTACTCCAAAGAAAAACCATTGTTGATGGAATCTCAAAAAAGGAGTCGTTACATTTGGGCTAAATCAAAACTTTTGTGGACCAAACATAACTGGAACAAAGTTGTCTATAGCGACGAAAGCAAATTTGATGTACGTGTGGGAGATTCCCGAAAGCGTGGATGGCCGATGGAATAAAGAAATCGGGAATTTTCGGCCATATGAAGCCAAAAGACCACGAGGAAGACCGCAAATGCGATAGAGCGCCGATACTAAAAGAACTGCAGGGCTAATGTGAAAACGTCTTACAAACAACAGGGATGAATGGCGAGAATTAAGAGATACCTATATTCGACAATCCGAATAGAGAAAAGGGCTTAAAAAAATTAAATGGTCTTTGTAGAAAGACTAATCGGATTGTGTTTATCGCGTGCGTGTGTTTGTTAGTAGTCCAAATTGTTTATTATAGCAACCCATTAAAAAAAAAAACGAAAAAATTATGTTTTTAAGGATAGCCAACTTATCCAGGTGCCGATATATACTCGGATCACGTCCCTATTATTGTCGAAATGGAAGCAAAATTAAAAAAGTTAAAAAACAAAAAGATTAGAAAAGAATTCGATGTGACAAGATTAAAAGATACTCAGATAGAACAAAGAGTTAGACAAAAAATCAATGATAATCTTAAACCCATCAAGTCAAAAAAACACCAACTCTAAAGACGTAAATGAAAATTGGAGAGAGGTTCAACAAGCTTTAAAAGAAGCGGGAGAAGAAATACGTGGACCAATACCAAAGAAAAGACATATGTGGATGACAGACGAAATACTAACTCTCATGAATGAAAGAAGAAAATATAAAAACATAAACACTAGCAAATACAAATCCTTAAACAGCAGGATTAGAAAAGACATAATAACAGCAAAAGAAAGATGGCTAACTGAACAGTGTCACGAAATAGAAGAATATGAAAAGAAATATGATAGTTTCAATATTCATCGGAAAGTGAAGGAAATGACGTCGGGAAAACAAAATAATATACATGTTATAAAAGACTCGAATGGTAACATTCTCACATTTACAAAACAACAACTAAACAGATGGACAGAATACATAAAAGAACTATTCGGGGATGACAGACAACAAATCATAGATGAGGACTCTGGTGAATCGGGACCAAAAATTTTAAAACAGGAAGTTCAATACGCATTAAAACAGACAAAAGGGAAAAAGGCCACAGGTCCGGATGAAATCCCGATTGAGTTTCTTAATTTGATCGATGATGAAATGATAGACATTCTAGTAGAACTTTATGATCATATTTATCAAACAGGTATTTTACCAAAGGAGTGGTTAGTATCCACATTCGTAATTATTCCCAAAAAGCAAAATGCAAAAGAATGCTCAGAACACCGTACAATTGCATTAATGAGCCATGTTTTGAAAGTATTTCTACGAATAGTTCACAACAGAATTTACAGAAAGCTGGATGATGAAATTAGTGATAGTCAGTTAGGCTTTAGAAACGGCACGGGAACCAGGGAAGCATTGTTCGGTATAAATGTGCTCATGCAAAGAAATCTGGATATGAACCAAGACATGTATACATGTTTTATTGATTTTGAAAAAGCATTTGACAAGGTACAGCACAATAAACTAATTAATATTTTAAAAATGAAAAACATCGATAGCCGCGACATCAGAGTAATCTCGAACCTCTACTGGAACCAGAAAGTCAAAATAAGAATTGAAAATCAAATGTCGGAAGAAATAGAAATTCTTCGGGGTGTGAGACAGGGCTGTGTATTGTCACCAATGCTGTTTAATATATATAGCGAAGCCATTTTCCAAGAAGCTTTAGGAGAATGTAACGATGGAATGATAATAAATGGTGAAATTATTAATAATATAAGATATGCCGATGATACTGTCATATTCACTTCAACTCTGCAAAGTCTAACAAACATACTGGAACGGCTGAATGAAAAGTGTACCATATATGGTATTAAAATGAACTTAAAGAAAACAAAATTCATGGTCATTACAAAACATCCAAAAGACAACGAGACACTCCATATTAATAATATCCAGATAGAAAGGGTAGATAAATACAAATATCTAGGAACATTGGTTAGTCAAAACGCAGAACAAACGCAAGAGATTAAAAGCCGTATAGAAATAGCAAGGGCAAAATTTGTAAAAATGAAACATCTATTGTGTAGTAGAGACCTAAGAATGGATCTAAGGATAAGGTTATTGCGCTGCTACATTTTTACAACTTTGCTCTACGGATCTGAGGCATGGACATTGAAAAAACTGGAGATTAAGAAATTGGAAGCTTTTGAGCGTTGGTGTTATCGAAGGATGCTACGAATAGCATGGGTAGACAAAATTACCAATATTGAAGTCCTTGATAGGGTTAATAAGAGGGAAGAAATTGTACAGACAATTAAGAGGCGGAAACTTGAATATTTCGGTCATATATTAAGAGGTCCTCGTTATGGGCTACTATGTTTGATTATAGAGGGCAAAATAAAAGGTAAAAGAGATGTAGGAAGAAGACGAACCTCCTGGCTACGAAATCTAAGGGAATGGTTTAGTCTGAGCTCTAGCCAACTATTTAGAGCTGCTGTAAGTAAAATAAGAATTGCCATGTTGATATCCAACCTTCGTTAGAAGATGGAACCTTAAGAAGAAGAAGAAGGATAGCCGCTGGATGGAGGGAGTGGGGGTTAAAATTGCACTGAGTCTTATTTTTTAATCGCGTAGAACGGAAAAAAGTGAATTCTAGGATTAAGGGCATTTTGCCAATTTTAACGGACGTAGCCTTTGTGGAAAAGAGTCGTGATTACAGTGAATCGCCGGTTTCTCTGAATTTTGTCATCAAATTTTTTACGTCACAAGAGATAGCCTCTATTCCGTTCTTTATTGTGCATACTGGTTCTTTCTTGGTTTAACATAAAGCATAATTTCTTTACAGAAGATTCGTTCATAACAGCCTTTATATGCCTATAAATGCGGATACGGCAAACCTCCTTTATCTGCCTATAAATGCAGATAGGGCAAACATTTTGCTCATTCAAAAACCGAATCATATTGCGTACTTTACATTTGGCGGGATTTTCAATGGTCACCGCCGTTTCAAAATGTATAGAACAAAGAGACTTGGTTCACACTGATGCGTCAGACATGGCACGCGTGAAGTCGCGCAATCGTTCTTTATTTTCTGGACGAACATAAGTAGTTTGTTTCTCATTTTAGTTCATTTTGCAGAATTTCTCTATATTTCAGAATTTTTATAACAGGTCGCATACAGTTAAATAAGTTAAATAACGAATTTTATTACATTACTGACAAATAACTAAGATAGCTTAGATGTAACTTCTTTAAATTGGCGTTTTAAGAAAGCAAGAAATTACGATTTTTTTGATTACTCGAAAACGGTTCTTTAATTTGTAAAATTTTATTTAAATATCTAGAATGTCATTTATTGCATAAAATCCGATTTTCAGTCGCTACCACCTCGAAGAAGAACAGAAATACGCCCACTTAAGACCCGGTAAAATATCAGGTAAACTACGTGAGGCTCTGGGCCTAAAACGTAACCAATTACCTTCTTACATATATCAGATGAGGGGACACGGCTATCCCCCCGGATGGTTGGAGGAAGCTAAATTTGTGTACTCTAATTTGACGATGTTTGACAGCGACGGGAATAACGTACGACCAAAGAACATTAAGAAGAATCAAGGTCTCGACACCGAGAAGATTATAGAATATCCAGGATTTAACGTACCTATGGAAAAGAATTGTAAAGATGTAAGTGTTTTAATTAACTTTTTATTATAAATTGTTAAATTATACTCCGTTTGAAAATTCTTGATAGCACTATTGAATGTCAAAGGTTCATGTAAAATTTAATTTAATTTTTAATAGTTGTAATTACAAAGGGTACGATAGTGTCAGCCGAACAGCGCTTGTCTTAAGAGGGGCGTAGGAAATTTCGACACTAAGCAGGTAGCGATTAAAGTTTAATGGCAATTTTCGACACCAGCCCCAATTCCTGTTTTTATCTTACAGGTATATTCGACACCAAATAAATATAGCTGCGACATAAATAAAATACCATAATTAATTAATTTATTTATTTTAATAAAAGTAATGTGCATTTTATTTCTTTATAACTGTAATAATATCTAAGTATAATACAACTAGTACCTAATTTTTGTACATTTTACCGTTAATATACTTATATACAATGATTTATTTGCTATTATAGGAATGATAAGATACAGCTTTTATAAAATCTAACCTACGTATTTGTTGGGATCGTAGTTTATCCATTATTTTCTCCAAAAATGCCAATTTAGCCTTAACAGTAGTATCTTTGATTTTTGCTGGTATATGTAAACTATTTATTTTGACATAAGTGTCTACTTGAAATTCTTTTAACTTTTCAATAAAAATAAAAATAGAAGGATGTGTTGAATAAAAAGAAGAATTAAATCTCGAATGAAAGGATTCACAGGCATTTGTGGTCCTCGCAATAGAAGGATTCTGATTAGACCATATGTGTGGTGGAAATAGAGCTATCGAAAATGTAAATAATCTGCATATATATCAAGTGTTGCGTTTATAGGTTTATATGACATTAAATCATAAAGAAAGCATTCTTCAACTTCTGCTGGATTTAAATAAGTTACACCAAACGTACGCCTTAACCATTTTCCAATTTCTGAATTTGTATCCTTATATTCTTGTACCAAACCCAAAGATTGAATTTTTTTAAACCAGTTTTGGTGTAAGTGAAAACGGCATCCACTAATTTTTGCATTGGGCCACATATACAATAAAGCACAGTGAATTGCTTTTTCAAAGTCCACAAATATTTCAGTTGGCTCTAATGATAATTGAAATATTTCAAAAATCTTAGACCTTAATAAAGAAAATAAATTTTTGTATGTCATTGACAATTTGTCCTTTAACAAACAGTATGCTAAAGGAACATAATGTCCATTTTCCAAGCCATGTATAGTAAATAATTGTAGAAAATATTTGGTACTGTATGAACATGTACCATCCATATACAAAGTTTTTAATTTACACAAACGAATATTTGTCTTGCATGAAAATACAATTACATTTAATTCAGGATGATTTAAAAACAAAAAACTTTCATTGCGACAGGTTTTAGGAGAATAATTACTAACCGCGTTATGGACTTCTGATATGCTTCTTGGTAACGGACCTGGTAATAGTTTACGACGACAGTTGTAAATGTTCTTTCTTATGCTAGCTATGTCAGGAACCGTCAGCAAATTGGCATCATGCTCAGCAACAGCAGTTCTTGTAATTTTGGCAGGCTTTTCCGATATGTCCTCTTGAGCTTTTCTTTTACATGCATTGGTTACCATCTTTACTTCAAGCTTTTTTGGATCGGCTTCATGATTATGTACCAAATCACTTCTTGTGATGGTGAGGTCCTCACAGCCTATTGTAAACACTTGCGGAACACTTAGTGTTTCTTTGGATGCAGCGCCCAAATATCTCGCCGCTTTTTAACACTTTCTGTTTCGAGAACGAATGATGCTCCACCACTAATAAATCTCGACCACGGGAACTTTTTATCAAAGTCATTTTTTAAATATCCGTATACGTGCACAAGTCAACGTCAAACAAGAAATAAATTACAACTGAAATAATTTAGTCACGAGTACACAAGTGCCACGCCCCCCGCCGTGACAATAAATATTGGGAAAACCCGCTTGTTCTGCTTGGGTGCAAATGTCAATCGCCGCTAATTACCTACCTACCTGCTTTATGCCGCGGTGTCGAAATTTCCTATAATAAAATTTGACCCTTCGATTACCCCAGGTACAAAGACAATTTGGTGTCGAAAGTTCGCCCGCCGCTTAAGAGATCTAAACTATGGTCACAAAAGCAATAAAAATGTGGATATGAGTGAGTGGACACCACTCAAATAAAGGCATTAAACAGTAGAGTGGTTCTTTTGTTGTGCCAACGTTTATGACACATCTGATAATCCTCAATGTAATGTCATAAACTAAGATTAGTTGAGATTTTCTTGTTTAAATTAAATGATTTTTTTTTAACTTATACAAAACTGAGACAAGATGTTGATATTTATATTTGTTGTTTTGTAGAGTCATGTACAAAAACCTGCTATATAATAAAACCATAAAATAATAATCTGTCATATAAACTGTGCTATCATACTGTATACATTTCCAAATGTATCATACTAACCACTTAAGTTAATTATATTTTTGAAGGAATATCGACAGCATCGTGTACCACCGTATTCAGACCAATTTAGTAAAGCAGCGATGATTGAGTTCTTTGAGAAAGAATATTCAAAACAACAGGATGACTTTGAGACTCAAGATATGGATGTAGATGATGAAGAAAATGATACGGCGGTAAGTTTACTTAAATCTACGTTTTTTACTATTTGTATATTTGTTGCTTAAAAAATATGGATGCATATTTTCATACAACAGGTAATTAAAGATTCGTAAAGGATGGTTATAAGTTTTTGCAGATGGAAACTGCCATTTCGAATAGGTGGCGTAATCAAGTGGCCTTACGTATAGTTTTCGTACATAACTTCTTTTTTATGTATTAGGTTTGAGTAACTTGTCTTTGCGTTCTCTCGATATTTTATTTGTTCTCCATGCGTCTCTCATTATTCCCAGCAACCATTTCTTTCCTCCCTCGTTTATCCACTTTCTCATTTCGGGATCAAAGTATATTATTATATTGCATGAATTGAGACTATTCCGTGAGAGATGTTCAAAATTTCTCTAGAAGAATCAGCTGTCATAGCTACACTATTGGATGAAGAAAAAACAGTTTTTTTATTAGTTAAAAATATGAATTCGCACTTGATATTCGCGTTTCTATTTCAACCCGATGTGAAGTTTGAAGCTAGTGTTTTAGGAAATCCGGCGCCGGCGCGGCGTGAGGGTAAAAATCCTTTTTTGACTTATTCTGTGAAAACAAACTTAACGTTTCACATAAATTCTGGTATATACAAATAGATATGTTAGGTCCTATCTACTGCTGTGTCAGGGTGTGGGATGTTTTGTTTTGCTGGATATTATGTAAGTGTGTGATTGTGTAGTAAGTGGGTTAATAAACAATTTACACAAAAAATTATTTTAACATGAGAACTATTTAAAATTACTTGTTCCCGATAAGGGAGAGGCCTGTTCATACTCCAAACTGATGGTAAAAATTGACTCTTATTGAGTAGCCAAGTTACTGAAACTTGGGCATGGACTCAATTAGCTAGTTATGTATAAAGAAGAAATTCTGATGATTTATATTGCACGTAGCGTCAATTACTTTTCTTTCCTCTACATTTATTTTTAATTCTTGTACATTGGGTTATATTTTTTAGCGTTTAGTATGGACTGCAGGTCTTTAATATTTTGTATTATAATAAATATGTCTGCATAAGTTGTTTACATAGATTCCTTTTACTCTAATTGCTTGTTCCATATTTGACTATTTGAAAGATATATGTTGAATATATACTGGACAGAAAAGGACAAAAAACGCCCAATCGTGTTATACTCTTTTCCTCATTATTTTTTTTATTTAGAAAAAAACCGCATTAACCACGAAGGTCATTAGCGGGGTTAAGAAAATACAATAGGTGTATAAAGTATGAATTTAGGTACATTATATCTTACTTGCTAAGTTACATTTGTAAAGGAATTGGAAAAGAGGTTTACAGTCAGTTTAAAGGTTAAGAATGTCTTTCATATTGTTTTAATATCCAGGTATTGATTGCTTGTAAGCGTCAAATTCACTACATTCTGTTAACACATGTTTTATTGTTTTTGGTATCATACGCTTGCTGCTTTTTGGTGCTTGGATATGAGTAATGACATATTCATGAGTAAGTTTGCAGTGTCCTAACCGAAGGCGAGATAGGATGGTCGGTTCCATAAACAAGTATCTCCCTTCGTTTGCTTGTAGACGTCTTCCATCTGGAGGCAGGTCTGGATCTGAACTCTCGGAAAACCACAATAATCGCAATAAGTAAACAACAGCATATAAAACCGTCTATATATGTAAATAATACCAAACTTGAGCAAGTTGATAAAATCGTTTACCTTGGACAGCAATTAAATTGTAACGAAGAAAGTCACGGCGAAATTAGATCTAGGATAGAGCAGGCTAGAGCTGTCTTTAGAAGGATGTTCAAGGTGTTATGTAACAGAGACTTAAAATTGGCATTGAGGATCCGCCTACTTCGATTCTACGTGTTCTCGGTCTTACTTTATGGTGTTGAGTCCTGGAATGTGAATAAAATCGATCTAAATCCCCTTGAGGCTTTCGAAATGTGGTGCTATAGACTAATTTTAAAAGTTTCCTGGGTGGAGAAAATTCGAAACTCCACAATACTAGAACGTCTCAGCACAACTACTGAGATCATAAAAAGCATCAAGCAGAGAAAGCTTTAGTATTTCGCACATGTAATAAGATGTCCTAAATATAGGTTGCTACAAAATATCACGCAAGGAAAAATAGCAGGCAAACGCAGTCCAGGACGAAGAAGAACCTCATGGTTGAAGAACTTGTGAGATTGGTATGGTGTTGATACTGTCACCTCGGGGTAAATGGAAAGGGTCTTGCCACCTTCTGTACCACCGTGTGCTCTGTAGAGGGGCTTCGGAAACATCGTGAGCTCCTCTACTTTTGTCCATTTTCAGGGTATGGACTTCAAATGTTTTCTTCTGGTATCTTGCCTTGAAAAAGGCAAGATATTTCTTACATGACAAAGGTTAAGTCGAAATAAAAATACCAGGTTGCAGTAGAATAACATATCAGCCACAGAGTATGGGAAAAAGCTAAAAAGAAAGCAGACCCCCGAGAGCACTAAGCTCTCGGAGAGCCCGTGAAGGACTGACCTGATTGACCTGAAAATCGCCTATTTTTATACTTTCTGAAGTAGCGATTAGGGATTTCCAGGTCAGGGAGAGGTCAACGGGAAAAATAAGGGGCGGGGCGATGCGTCTCGAACGTGAACTAGTCGCGTCCGAGAACAATAGTCGCATGCTATTTAATGTAGCAGTGAATAAAATTAAGATATCTATGATGGTAACCAACGATCTGAAAGACCATGGTACATGTAGAAGAAGGGGTTATTTCAAAATTAATCAATAAATCATTTAATTTATTTACGAAGTTAAAAATTATTTATATCAATGTTTTATTCTTGTTTAGGTGCTAGTAATTTTATCCCGTAAAAGACTAAATATATACGTTATCTCGTTGTTTAAGTAGTTAATAGTAGTTTTGTTGTCATTACTGTAAACTTCAGTAATACTAAATATCTTTGGCTATATTTAATAAACTCAAAACTATTAAATCATTCAAAAACATTTTTTTAAACACTCACTATGGCAATTTGATAGAAAGGTTTTTACAGAATGTTATATTACAACTAAAAGTCCCTATTCACCCTATTTATTATTATAATAACGTAAACACAAACGAAACAAACTGTTTTACGTAATTTATAATAAAAATTTAACTTTTTAACAAAGAACTGTTTCAGTTGATAACAATTTAAAAATGAAGAAAAAAAAAATAAATGTAACAAAATGACTAAATCATGTGCCCGGACAAATTGATTTTAATAATGCCTGTTTCCTCTACGTGCTCGAATTATTGCCTGAATTCTCCTTGGCATGCCTAAAATCAAATGAGAAATGTCCTGTTGAGGAATAAATTCCCATTCCTTTAACAAGGATTCTCATAACTGATTTAAGGTTAAAGAGGCAAGAACACGACTTCGTATCCTTTGCTCAAGCATGTCCCAAACATGTTCGATTGGGTTTGCGTCTGGACTCATTGCTGTCCAATCCATTACAGGAGTGTTTACTTCATTTAAAAACTGTTGAGGGATTCTCGCACTGTGATGCTTGGCATTATCATGCATCAAAACAGTCATTTCCAACAAAACCAGTATTAGGCACAACAAAATCTTGGAGAATTTCATTAATGTACCTGGCAGCTGTTATGGAGCCTCTCGGAACGATGTACAATTATGTGCGTGCCTCTAGATAAATTCCAGCTCACACCATAATTGATCCCCCTTGATAGTCTACCCTAGGACTCAGTGGCGGCTCGTGGCTTGAGAGACAAGGTCGGCAAGGTATTTTTTGTCTTCTCAGATAGGTATACCGTCTAATAAAGACTTCAATCATCATGTGAGACTTTTTGTTTCTTGTTTTTTGTTTTTTCCTAGTATCCTATAAATTTAGAACCTAAACATGTTTATGAATTAACTCTAGTCTACGTTGATTGGAAGTAGCAAAATGAGTAATAACGTCATCGTAAAATTTATTAGAGTTTTGGAGAGATTTTAAAAGTTTTTTTTCTATTGACATTTGAGACAAGCTTGACATTCTCTCTTGTTTCATGGTATTTCGACAATACGTTTTGATTCTTTTGAGGCAAGAGAAATCTCGTTCAGACTCAATCTCTGAGGCAGACGTTGGTGGTAATGAGAGAATTAATGACAATAATTTATTAATTTCGGTAACAGTTTGTTGTAATGAATTGCAGTATATAAAATTATACATTATCTTGTAACTTTTCCCATCTTCCGAAAATATTTGGATCAGCATATAAAACTTTTAATTCATTTTCTAATTTTATTTATTAAAGAATAATGGATAATTTTTAATTAACCTGTCTAATAAATATCTTTAAAATTCTTTGGCGTAACTTTTAAATTTTGAATCGTCAAAGAGGTCAAAAATTTGCAAATCTTGAAAATTCGAAAAACGAGTATTTATTTGCATAATAATAGTATCCAAAATATCAAAATATACTCGTTTTTAGAGATCTGTTTCTGTGTCATGCCTTTGTCTTTTTTTTTTGGGGGGTTAGGAAATATCAAGCGAGTCCAAAACGTCACTGCGTATACTGGAAATTACTATCATTACGAAAATTTCTGAGATTTTGCACCAGTCTTGTTATTCTATTTTTGGAATGAATAATGTCAGTTAACTGATTTTGAACAACATTGAATATTAAATCGGTTTAGGTAAACACTTTCTTAAAAAGATTTAAAAGTATGTAGTAAAGTAATCATTTAATAAAGTTTTCAAACCGATTGCTTCACGGATCGAGATATCATCACTTTCAAAATCGTCACATTCAATAATAAAATCAAAAACTTCCAAAAGCTGTTCACGAAAATCTGCTACAGTGAAAACTAACCGAGATTTAAAATTCCATCGCGTCTGACAAACTGTTGGCATTTTTTTTTCGAAACAAACCCTTCTAAAACATTAGTCCGTTTAGGCGAGCTTGAGAAAAATGAAGCAAATCCGCTTAAACTGGCAAAAAAGACGGCGTTCTTTAATTTTTTTACATGTATGCTGCAAAACTATATTTATTCTATTCACATGACAGTAAGTAAATAAAGCTTGCGGTGCAAAAATTTTAACTTTTGCCTGGAGACCATTTAATTCACCAGACATCACGGCAGCGCCGTCATAAGTTTGCCCTACCAATTTATTTTTGGTATCAAAAAGTTTTAATCTGTCCTTTAAAACACCAAAAATATATTCTGCCTTATGGCTTTTACTCACGTCTGTAAAACCTAAAAACCTCTCATAGATATTACCACGTCACGCGTATCGAACATCAATTGATAATTGTGAATGACATGATATGTCGGTAGTTTCATCTACTTCTAGTGAAAAGCAGATGGTTTCCTGAATCTCAGATTCAATAACTTTACTCAAAATGTAACTAATTGACTCTATTAATTCATTCTGGATTGTTCTAGATACACCGCTAAATGTCTTCGAATCAGAAAGTAAATTAGAAAATTCGAACTCATATTTCTTATACATTTTTATTAGTTCTCTATAATTACCTTGATTTAACGAATGCTCCGATTCATCGTGACCCTAAAAGATAGTTCCTGACAACTTAAAAAAATTACAATATCAATTAAACGACGTTAAACTGCGTGATTATTTTTTACAATTTCGTTATGTTTAATAGCATTTTCACGTTGGGCATTATCTAATGAAACATAGATATTTTGTTTTCCAAATAAATCTAATTAATCTGGCTGTAAGTATGATCTTTCGAAGTATCATGTTTATGTAAAGCCCTAAATAATTCCTTTAAATTATCGTAACCAGATTCACACCACGGATTTTGATGTTTGCCCCTATTTGTCGAAAATAAAATGCAAGGCCAACAGAAAGTTTGTTTTTTTATTTCACTCCCGGTAAGCCATGAGTACTTGCTGTACCAATTATCTGAAAATGATCTATTACTTCCCTTACCTGCACTAATATTTATAAGCCGGGACATTTTAGGCAAAGGACGCCCCTTATTTTTAATAACAATTTGTTCTTGGTATCGAATAGATGAAAACCCATTATGCAAAATATAATTTACAGTATCAGACTTATCAATACTTACAGTTTCTCCCATGGCTTGCATTTTTTAGATTAATTTACCTGAATTTGTTTACACTTTAATTAAAAAAAAACTTCTAATATGTCAAAAAACCCTTTAACCTTTAACTATTTACTTCAGGCGTAACATATCACAGTATTACTTTAGAAAATAAAATAAATGAATATCACTTGCACTGAATATCACTGCACTGAATATCACTTCACTTTACTAGTTACGTTATTATATGAAATAACATTTCATCCCGCGCTCATAATGTACAGTTCGCGACCAATCACCAATCTAAATGAAACATCGGCAAATTTAAATTTGCCGTACTTGGTAATTAAGTTCATATGGAAAGAAATGTAATGGTTGCTAATCAACTAATATTCCGTTGGTTTTTACAAGTAAATCGGTTAAGGTTGGGATCGGCTTGCCGAAAAAACAAAACGTGCCTTTTTAAGAATTCACAGGCGGATGGATGTCTCCGATATCGGATCATCAATTTGAAAAGTGTTTACGCAGGGATCACTTAACGCTCAGATTGGACGAATTCTTTTAAAAACCGTGAATAAAATTTAGTCTGGTCGAATTCTTTTAAAAACCATGAAAAAAATTTAGTCTTTATTATCTCACAGATATTTTTTTATTTCACAAAAACAAATGACATTAACTGATTACCTGCCACAATTATTTATTGAAATACTGATTAAATTAAATATTAAAAAAATCTATAATATCTATAAAGGTGTGGGTTGGTACCGCCGACCCTGACCGGCCGCCACTGCCAGGACTCAAGGTACATTCAGCAAAACTCTCATGTGCTCTTCGCCATACTCCATAGTACATACCCCCTAGTAAGGTAACTCCCATATAAAGTTTTGGAAGAGAGTTTCTAGCGCCAAATACGGACGGGCCGAAACTAATTTCATTTGGCGGCAAATTCAAAACGTATATTCAGAATTTTAGGCGGCAAATTCAAAAAATATGCTCTGAATTTTAGGCGCCAAAATTCAAAAGTATGTTTTTAATGGAAAGTAAATATAGTCATAAAATAAGAAATAAAAACTTATTCTATACCAGAAAATATATCCTCTCTGTCCAAAAATATAGTATACACCTACACATTTATATATATATATATATATATATATATATATATATATATATATATATATATATATATATATAAATGTATAACATAATATCTGATACAGAGAGAGTATATATTATGGTACAAGAAAGTTTTTATTTAATATTTTATGATTATATCTGTTTTCCATTACATTAACAACCCAAAGTCCCAAAAATAACAAAATAAAACACAAACATCCTGACACTTGTTTATTTGTATAATTTTCTTTGGTAAAGTATTGGCAACAAATATCCTCCTCCTCCTCGTTACTTAAGCCCTTGTTAAGGTGTGGGTGGAGACACTCTAAATATTGTTAACTTGCTGTCTCCATTGGCTGCAATTCTGTACCAGATGAACAACTTCGTGAAGTGATTTTTCCACCAATCTTCATTTAATCTTCCCATCATGTTGTAAGATCGTCATTTTGATATACAAATATAGATACCTCTATATTTATTAGCAATGGTTTGTAGTAAGTTCCATACCTTCTAAAATACTTTTCCTTGAAGTACCATATGTACATAATAAAGTGTAAACCCTAGCATGTCTGCGATCTTGCTCTTCAGAATTATCACAAATTGGCATGCGACTCAATGTAACTGTTACTCAGAAGTAGAAGATCCATGAAAATCTAAAAATAATGAAATATTATTAAAATAAGAATGTATTGACTTTTTATAAAATAAGGCCAATTTTAGAAATGCAGTGATAAGAGTTAAGAGTTTTAAATGAGTTTAAAATCTATACAGTATATAAATATAAGATTAATGTTAGTTAAGATTGAAAGGTAAATTAACTAGAAAAACAAAATAGTATCAAGTTTATATTTACTAAAGTTTGATATTGTTAGGTGCTGTTCTTACCTGGTGCTTGTAAAAATATACTCCTAATCCTCAGAATGTTTAATAGCCATTTGTCAACTTTAACTTTCACCATCAACAAAAAATATTCTTTGGAAATACTATACCATTTTGGTAATGTACCTTCTTCTTTAGCAGGTCTATTAGATATATAAAAATTTGATATATACTGTTTTTATCATCTATTTCTAAAATTTGGGATACGATTATTGTAAACAGTGTGGTGTAGAATTGTTTAATCTTTTCCTCATAATAAATGTCAACCATTATGAAACAAGTCCATTTCATTTTTTGGGTTTGGAAAACGAAATCGACTGTTTGTGTAGTCGGTGCAACCATGAACATAACATTTTTTTTACCTTTTATTCTATTTTGTTCTATTTCAAACGATGGTAAAACACAATTTTTAAAATTAAGATGATAATAACCAATACCAAACACAAATCTGAATTTGCAATATGGCGTCCCAATCTAAATTAAATTTCGCCACCGCACATGCGTCTCCCGCTATATTATACCTCCCACCTAACGTGACTAGTAGCGCCGCCGTCATTAAGAACGGATGGGCCCATGCAAAACACTATCCCCTCCCGTCCTATTCTACTTACATTACTATTGGGTATGTATTGTGGCCATACTCTCTCACGGCCATCTGGAGATCGCAAGGTAAACCTGGACTCATCGGTAAATAAAACGTGCGTCGAATTATTTACAGTAAATGAGCATGGTTTCTGGCAAACTAAAGCCGCGCAACTTGATAGCGTCTGAGAAGTTGTAGGCCTGCTGCAGGTCTGCGACTGCTTAAATTTGCTTTTACAAGCCTTCGTCTAATTGTTCGTTCACTTACGTTACAATTTCGGACGTATCTACTGAAGTTGAATAGTGTAGTATTTATTTCTGATTTTTTATGCATTTTTTTTCGGATATAAACACTTAATTTTTATTCGAAATAACTTAAAAACAGTTTGTTTCCTTTGTGTTTAGGTTATTATAATAATAACAGTTTAAAGAAAATTAAAATTTTAAGTTTTTATTTTAAAACTGCAAGTGCTCCGTTTTTCGTGCCGGTGAGTGTAGAACAAATACACAAGAATTGGAAATTTTTGGAAAGGTTTTCCAAGTTCCGCGCATTGTGACGTGTACAGACTTAGGTAGTTCATTAAAAAACAATGTTTTAAATAAAGAAGCCCCGAATTTTCATCGGAAGCTGATAGAAGAAGACTTGAACTTGAATTCAGGCAATTGATGGTTTCAAAAATAATATTTTTTACCCTTGTTTTTGGGCCCTAAAAACCGTAATTTTGCGTTTTTTTAAGTTTTAAATTATTTATAACATGAAAATGATCAACTTTAGAGAAAACTTACAACATAACTTTTCTCTGTTCATAAGCATCCAAAAAAACAAAAACAATTTTTCCGAACCGAAAAAATCTATTGTTACAATTTGTTTAAAAAAAAATTTTATTATATATTTTGCGAATGAACCCGAGCTTTTCGCCTTGTCTAAAACTGGTCCAAAAATCACTTTTCTAAATTACACAATTAAATCGAAATTAAATACACTAATTACTATCGATAAGGCAAATCGGATTTTAATTGTATTTGGCACACCTCTTACTCGTTAGACTGCTACAACAGGAATATTCCTTATTAGTATGTTCCTTGTTAGGTACTCACCCAATCCTTGACAGTCGATACTAATGTACCAAATAATCAATTAAACCTCAAAAATAGACCAAAATTACATTTCGCACATGCTATGATACGTAACAAATATAAAATACTGCAGCGAATACTCGAAGGCAAAGTTTCACTGCCTATTTTTCAAATACCTCAAATTTTATTATATTTTATTTTTAGATGCGCCGTAGAAAAGTCTTGGAACAAAGTATTCCATCACCGTCGTTAGTTGCCTTGGAAAAAGAAAAACAAAACCTTTTGGAAGCCCTAGACGACAGTTCAAATTCCAATCTAAAATCAGACATTGGCGAAACGTCCACCACAGAACAAACAGAAGTGGAACTACGTCCGCCAGGTATTGACAACTCAACATCTGAAGACTTTACAAAAGTGCCTTCCAAACTATCTACATCTTCTGTCTTAGAAGATTCTCAAGAAACGCCAGAAGCTGATGTCACGCCTGTCAATAAAAAAGTTATTCACAGTAACTTTGGCACCCCCATATTGAAAAGTTGTTCTCCTTATTCTATCCTACCCAATCCCGATAATTTTATGAAAGACGTAAGTCCAGTTATCAATTTCGAGAACTTGCCCAACTCTACAGGTACATACGAAAAAATGGTCGGTCTTCTACAAAAAGTTCGAAGTACCATGAAAAGTTTTCCGAAGGACAATTCGTGATATTAAAAATGATAATCATCGTTCCAATAAGTACAAATCAATTTTTGTATAGTAGAGATTTGTGACAGAAAATTAGTTATATTTTTCAAAAGCGAACGTTCTTTAAAATATGTACAAATTTGTATGGTTGGATAAAGTGTTATTCCCTTTGATTGATATTTGTGAATTATAGAAGTTTATAAATGTATCGAGGCGTATTTGATTATCCGACGCTATGTTCTATGTGGATACGATGTTTGCACTGTTAATTTGTTTCGTATATTATTTATTAACAATTTAATAACCTTTTAAGACGCAGAACTGAAATTTTTGCTTTTAAGGTGAATATGTTTGAAAACTATGAAATCAAAGGGAAGGTTATAAGGCACCCGAAAACGTAAATTATCTTCAATTTTTTTCTTTTATGTGGTAGTAAATATTGCTACCAGTGGGTGTCTGAGCATTTACCATTTACAAAAGTAGTAAAAGAAAAACGTTCAAAGTTTAGTTTTTATTGGTGTAAACTGTTTTATTTCAAAAACGTTTCCAAACAATATTTCTGAAAACCATTCTTCGCATAATGCTACATTACATTTTTGGCAAATAAAATTGGTTCTATTCTGTTTATTTGAACTACCGTTAGCAGATCTTCAAGTCAAGTCAAGTCAAATTTATTGATCACATGCGACATTATACAAAGTACATGTATGAGACAAGTCAAAAATATAGACATAAATCTTAAAATTATATAAATTAATTAAACACGATAAAACATACTTAAAAATTATTTGTAGAATATGGCTCTAGCTCACAAATGTATTGATGTACACACCTCCGAAAGTTTGGTTGACGTAAATTCATTCGTATATCTATTGGTAATTTGTTAAAGAAACTTATGGCTGCATAATGTGTGCTACCTTCCAACAAAACAGAATGATGTTGTGGAAGCATAAAGTGATTGTCTCTGAATCTTGTTGAATAAACATGGTTAAATTGAAATTTATTAAATTCATAAATTTTGCTATGCAAATACATTATACACGAAAATATATACAGACCAGGAATTGTCAGAATATTGTTTTGTCTAAAGATGCCTCTACAAGAATCTCTAAATTTCATTTTATACATTATCCTAATAGCTCTTTTCTGAAGTACGAATATCTGCTCTAATTCAGAGGTATAACCCCAGACTTCAATGCCATATTTGGCTATTGAGTCAAAATGGGCAAAGTATTCTGTTTTTAATATTGATGTATGAAAGAAACGTGAAAGAATTCTTAATGCATAACATGCGCTACTTAATCTGGATTTCAAATTAGAAATGTGGTTTGACCATTTACAATTACTGTCTAGAAGTACCCCCAGCAACTTCGTGCAGTCTGTTTTATCTATTGCTGCTTCTATAGTGGCTTGATGGTTTAATAAATTATTTGACGTGAAAATCATATACTTTAATTTCTCTTCATTCAAAACTAATTTGTTGGATAAGAAATAACTTTTGATGGTGGATAGTATCTATGAAGTTTTATTTTGCAAATTTTGATCAGACGTTCCTGTGACTAGAATGTTGGTATCATCCGCATAACTGATAATGTTAACCCCAGTCAGTGAATTAGTTACCAAAGTTATATCATTAATAAATACTATAAAAAGTAGAGGACCCAATACACTACCCTGAGGGATACCATTATGGATATCCAATGTGTTTGATTCGTTTACAAGTCCATTATATGTTATCTTTACTTTTTGTCTTCTATTCTCTAGGTAGGAAGTAAACCATTTTAGAACTATACCACGAATACCAATCCCCTCAAGTTATATTAGCAACAAATTATGATCCAAAGTGTCAAAAGCCTTGGACAAATCGAGAAATAAACCACATGCCATCTCTCGTCTGTCCAAAGCATCCAACACTAAGCTGACGAAATTTGCAAGAGTTATAGTTGTAGACTTAGAAGATGTAAAACCATGTTGAAAATTATGCAAGACACTATGCTTTTTTAGAAATCCGTTCATTCTAGTATAAACTAGAGTTTCAATTTTCTTTGAAAACACGGATAAGAGACTTATGGGACGATAGTTGTTAAGGTCATCTTTAAATACCTTTGAATAAAGGGATTACAATAGATAGTTTAAACATACTAGGAAATATTCCTTGTTGAAAAGAGGCATTACAAATATCCGTCAGTGGATCTGCGAGAGCATGAATGCATTGTTTTAATAACTTAGGGGAAATCTGATCAAAACCACAACTGTGTTTGGATTTAAAACTTCCGACTATACTAGTTATTTCCTGTGGGTTAGTTGGATATAAAAACATAGAAGAACTATTACGGTTTTTTGATGCTGATGTAAACCCATCTATTTTAGTAGGATCCAAAGCGGCAAGTAACTTTGGAGCCATTTCAACAAAATGGTGGTTAAATTTGTCTGCTAAATTACTGTTATCATCACTAGGTACTTTTTGTTTCCCGACCGTTAAGTTTACTAAACGCCAAATACATTTAATTTTATTTGGTGATTCGTTTAACTGTCTCATGAAGTGACTACTTTTAGCAGCTTTTAATTTAATTGAATATTCTGCCTTTGCCAAATGAAGGACTAGCCTAAGACTACTATTTTGCTGACAGATCGTTTCTAAAAGTTTTAGCTGATCCCTTAACTTGTACAGTTCCTGCGTAAACCAATTCGAACGTGTACTTTTTTTAGGTTTACATTTAAGTAGTCGAAAATGGGACCGAAAATAATTTTGGATAGTATTTAAAAAAGCTAATGATTTATCCTCAGCAGAAATTGTATTAAATACCTCTGACCAATTTGTTGACTCAAGGGTTTGAACAAAACGATTTATGTTCCTTTCACTATATGAACGGATGAATATATAGGCATCATTGTCTGTGTTAATGATACATTGGAATATTTGCGCACGATGATCAGAGATAAAACCTTCCACAACCATTGTTTTTTGTGGGTGATTTATGTTTGTAGCAATATAGTCAATTTGAGTTTTACTAGTTGCAGTTACTCTTGTATAATCATTCACAGTTACAGTTAAGCCATAAGAATCTAAAAAATTCACCAAGTTCTGCTTACTTAATGCATTTCATTTGAAATCTATATTAAAATCACCTGTTAATATTATAGCCTTACCTTAGACCTTACGCCTTACTCTTCGGTAAGTGCCTTTGATTTTGGATTTGTCTTTTTGGCTCACTTGAATCCTGACTTTTTGGAAGATGAAACATCCTCATGGTCCTTGTTATTGACGTCTGGCTCTGTCACTATCAGATGAGTATAGGTAGGTGTTTGTATTTGTTCAAATCTCTTCGGCATAATAATCTGGATCTAAAACCGAAAATCTGCCTAGTAAATCCAAAGATAAAAGAGTTTGTTGATGATATTCAGGTTTGTTTTATGTTAAAGTAATATGCACACTAACATTCTTACAATATTAAATTGCTTAATTTGTTTTTGTATTCATTAAAATAATTGTTAAGTTTAAAAAAAAAAGGTTAGATTTGTTGGCAATGTTGAATATAGATTGAAATAACTTTTTAGACACCAACAATGCTTACTCTTTATTATCGAAAAACGTTATTCACGCTTTATTTTACACTACTACACTTGTTATCTAATGAAAAACTTAAATAAATTACTATAAAAAGAATACGGGTGAAATATTCTACACAAATGCTCACTGGCAGCTATATTTACCGCTCAACGATCTTCGAATTGTTGTGTGTTACACCATCTAATGGTGGACACCATACGTTAGTCGTATGTCATCAATTCTCCTTTGCAACAACCACACAGTAATGCTTGTGCTTACGGTCTAGTACTCATTGCTATATACCACGCACACGGTGAAAAATGGCTGATTTTTAGAATTTTCGTCTATAATTTAAAATCATATTTTATCAAAAAATTGATATAAAAATCGGTTAGTTTACTGAAATACCTTGATAAAGAGCTTAGGTAAAAGTTTTTTGGTGTATTTATTTATTAATAAACGCTAAAAAGATGTAAGATGAGGACAATTTGATAAAAATTTTAAAACGGTTCATTGTATAGTTTTTAAACAATTTATTTTGTGAAAACAAATTTGCGAACACTAATAATTTTTGCAACGCTCTTAAGACAGAAAATAATACAATTAGAAGGACGCTTGAAAATAACGTTAAATTAATTTTGAACAATTTTTAAGATATTTATTCTTCGTTGCAAAATTGGAGTTTTCTTCAGCTAAGAAATAAATTGAAGGTTAGTCGTCAGTATCAACAGCTATCAGTACTTGATCGTCCGCGAACAGAAGAGCGTGTATTATGTCATTACCTACCTTTATTCCCATTAGGCCAAATTTCAGTCGCCATATTTTGCGTTCTTCTTCCAGGTATATTTTCTCACACAATAACGCCGCTACGGAATATCCTTGTTTTAAGCCTTTACTAATCCGAAGATCTTCAGATGTCGTCTTGTGTACTTTAACTGCGCTGGTGGTTCCTGAGTATAGAGCTTACTTAAATGTACGGTATCGTGGGCTTTCTTACGGTTGGCAAAGGTTAAATGGACAGTTAACCCTCTTTCTAGGTATTTCTCATACCTGTTTAATAGTGAATAGTCAGTCTTCAGAGCAACCAGCTCTGAAACCGTTTTGATCTTCTAATTATTTAACTTGTTCACCAATTCGGTGTTTTGGTAGTCGTGCATAAACTTTTGCCACAGAACATGTTACACTAATTCTTCTGTAATTTTAGCGTTCTTTCTATTCTTTGGGTTAAGAGTTGTCTTCGTTGGGACGTGTAAAGATAACTGCAAGAGTCTTTATTAATTTATCCGAAGCTGCTTTGAATAGTTCGATAATTATATTTTCTGGACCAGGGGTTTCCCATTCTTTAGCTGCATGCCACTTTTTCATGCATCTGCTGCAGCTTTATTAATTCACTTGTTACTCTTTGCTCTTTTTATGTATTTCTATACGGCAGCTCCAGTAATGATCCATTTTTCATAAGCTTTTTTCTTCTCTTTCCCATATTTTCTAGTTCATGAACCCATCAAATACATTCGTTTCTTTTTTAGTTATTACAGACTTTTCGCCTAGAGCTTCTTTTACAGCATCAATAATACAATATTTCATGTTGATATATGTTCTTTGCTGACTCAACCACGCATAAATCCTCTTTTGGTGTTCACATCCAACTCTCATTTTTATTTAATTATTACGTAGTCAATGATCGACTTCGAAGTTACTATGTCCATATCAGATACGAACACTTTTTAATTTTTTATTGCTATCCCGTGTATGTTCCGCGTTCCAATTTTCCTTGTCCTTTTCTTTGCCAGTTTTCGTCGTTCGTTACATCCATACATATTCGAGATATGTGTGTTGAGAAGTTGTGCGAAAAATTGGGTTTTTTTTTCGAGAGATGGAGTGCAGGTTCTGCGCCCCAATCAGGAGGGCATGTAATTTTT